ATTATTCCCCGAAAGATAAACGTGAAATTATACTTAACACGCATACACTGCCGCCGTCAGTCGGTCGGGTTCGGGTCTTTGACGAGTCAACAATCGGGCTTAAGATAGGAAGATTTATTTTTTGCTACGTTTTTCGGATAAAACCAAATAAAAGACACAACCATTCGTTTTAAAAGAAAGGTCATGAACTTTCTTTTAAAAGGTGTCTTTTGGGTTAAGAGACTCCTGGCCAGAGCTCTATAAATACCTGCCTTGTCCTCATTTTTGATCATCCGAAAAATTGATAAACAATTCTCAACACTCTCTCTTCGTTCGTTGCATCTTTGAGTTCGCCGGAATCCCGTTGGGAGCGAAAAACCGTTCTATCCTGGGAGACGCTCAGGGGCGTCTTTAGCATTTTGGAGGCCCTAGGCAGGAAAAAATTTTCGGAGCAAAAAACATATTGAAAAGAGATAAATTGGATAAAGAACATCATATTAAAGAAAACATATTCAAAGTGTACGATATAATATTTTTTAATAGTCGCAACGCTAAGTTTTTCAATGCAAACATATGCAAAGTACTCCACAAACTTGTACTTGTAAGACCTTATTGACCTATTCTTCTTGCCTTTTGAAGTGCAAAATCAGTAATAACATCACTGCATTCAAGAGTAGCTAACACTGTTTTTTCAATCAACAATGTTTGCATTATTATTCACATTCTCACAAACAACATTTGTATTGTCATTATCAAGAATATTTGAGGAAGAAGGATTTGTCTTTACATACCGATCCATGGAGCCGGCAAACGATTGTATAACCAAATCTCTCCTCTCCTTATTTTTTCTCTTTGTACTTCCCGACTCAAACTTCCGCTTTCCGGTCATACTTAAGACGAACCTATTGACAAAATTTACAAAATCATAACATTCACAAACACATTAATTAATTAACAGAAACTTCTAAAACATCTATTCTAATAAATACAATAAAAATTTAAACAAAATAACTATGTACAGTACTATTCAAGTGGAAAAGTACTCAAGTCCCCATTACTTTCTCAATTCTTCGAAATTCCCAAATACATATAACATACTCTATACTACCGTATCTACATTATTGTGAATTGAATTATTACTCCAGCTGTCCAGCACTTTTGCAGTTTTGCTAACCGAGATAAGAGATTGAATAGAAGTATAAAAGTATAAAACAACTCTTCTGATTTCCGAACCACAATTCCACAAAGGCACAAATTCACAAAATTTAGAATTTTAGAGCTTTAGAGAAAGGACAAAGACTCACAGGATGACAGGATCCTTCTCTTTGATGGACTGCTGGACGCCTAATCGCCTATGAATCGCACTATCGCGGAATCGGCAATCAACAGATTCTTCTTTTTGGCGGAATGGATGAAGGATTCGGGATTGAAGGGTTGATGCTAGGGAATAGGGATTGCTTGGTTCGCTTGGCGCTTGGCTTGCCTTCACCGCTTCAGTGTCTTCACGCTTGGAGGCTTGGAGTCGCTGAGCCGGTCGAGTATTATTGCTCCCTACCGTAGACTAACTAATTAATTATTAGTATATACATAATACTCCCTCCGTCCCAAATTGTAAGATACTTTACGGTTTACGATGTTTGACCGATGATAAAGCAATTTGATCCCTGTCAACACTCAAATTAGTTTTAGAAAATAAAATTTACATATTTAGAAACTACATCAAAACCGCTACAAAACCTGCAAAAAATAATTCAAATTTCATAAACTTTTAGTATATAAAGTAAAATATTAAGAGTGATTTATGTTGACCAAGTGAATAGTAAATGTATCATACAATTTGGGACTGAGGGAGTAATAGACTAATACTAATACTAATAGTTTTTTTTTTGAGGCCCCTTTGGAAAGTGAGGCCCAAGGCATTTGCCTGGCCCAACTCCCAGCAGAGACGCCCCTGGAGACGCTTGCTACGTGTGTCGGGCAAAAACGTCTTAAGGAAACAACATTACGTTGGGCTCGGTTACAAGTAAACTTATGTTACTTTCCTTAATTATTTATTTGTTTTTTCATTTGCATGCAGAATTTTGTACACATATAACACCAATAATTCTAGCATTAAATGAATCTACTATTTTCTCTGGAAATTACCCAAATCCATTTTTGTCAACCCGACCCAATAGGTGACCCGGGACTTTAGACTCGAAAAGTGACTGGTTTTCCACTCTAGTTTGATATAGAAAAACGTGTCTTGCAGACATTAATCTTTACAACACAAAAAGAGTTATTGTTTAGAAAAAAGTGTGTTATAAATGATTACAAACTATATTAAAACTACAAGTTAATAACCTAATGTTGATTGGAAATGAGTGCTTGTAATTTGCCTCAACCAATGCCTAAGTTATCATGTATAATCTCCACAAATCACTTCCATGCAGCCTTTGTTGCAGTACCCACCACTGCCCGTGCAATGGGAAACATCTTATTGTTGCCATCCCTGCCCACAACAGTTAAAATCTTACCCTTCACATCGGACTTCAAAAGGCCCTATCAACCGCAATCAATCTTCTATATATAACCTTCTCCTTCTTGCATGGATCATATGATACATAAAATCTATCAAACTTTCGGCTTGGTTGCTTTACATGTAAGACACAAGTATTTCCTTCATTGGACCACAATATCTCTGCCTTATAATCCTCCAAATTTTTATGCTCTGCCTGAATGTCTTCCTATCCATCTTTTTTACTATTGACTTTGCCTTTCTCATCTACTCTAACGAAACATCACAATCCAGTTCTTTCTTAACTATCTCTTACTTCGTATATGACAAACAATTTCATCTCATAAATTCTAGCCTTAGATGTAAAGAAGTTGTGAACTAGTCACCTTACCGTTGCAGTGGGTATCTTCTAACCAGAATTGCAGAGGTGTTGATTATGGAAAATGTTTAAAACCCACTTCTTAATGTTGCATCTGTTATTTATGTCAAAGTATACCATCCATATACACATCTTATCCAAATCAGCACAATTGGCCCAAAGCATGTTAGAACAATTCTTTCCCCAAATGGTGAGGGTACCAATTACTCACTAAATACTTATCCATTACCTATTTCACTTCATCTTTAATTTACACTCGAAGCTCACCCTAGTGTAAACTCAACCTTGCCGCTCAACCTAAAAGGTGGAAATTTGGTTTTCCTTCTAAAAAAAGTCTATTCTTCTACATTTGAACAAGATTTCTAACTTCTTTATTCACTTGAACTAAAATAATCAGATTCCCAACCATCACCCTCCAAAGAGAAGTTCTCCACAACTATCACCCTTCACTTGAACACCTTTACCATCACCTCTACCACGTTGCAACAAACTCCTCATCATCTTAATTTGTTTGAATTGAATTCGTCTTCAAGTAACAAATCGACTTCTACCTCGATATAGTCAAATTCTCAAACCCTGAATCAACTATAAATGGCTTCTTCATATGTTCCACATTTGAGCCATTACAGTGACTCAAAATCTCATTCCACATGTATCTGAAACATTTAAAATAACAATATTAGAAACAACAAATATAAAAATGTATCACACAAATAAATTACATAAATATTTGGATAATCTATATGTTCCTAATATTATTATTAGGTAGATTTACTTTTATCTCTACATGTTTTGCGCGCTCATGATTCAGCAACGATGAAATATTTAGTTTTTGAATTGTGAATCTGCTGACCCTATATTCATTTAGTGGGAATAATTTTCTGATTTAGATGCTTCCTCATTATGCAATTTGCATTTGCTAGAGATCGTATAAGCATTTTTTGACAATAATGAAGTTTCGACTTTTAAGTATGGCACTTCCAGACTCTAGCTAACAAATCAACGCTTAATTCATAACCATTAAAGTTATCCTTCTCCACTTTCGACTTACTTTTACAGGTTTGGTATCTATCATTTCTCAACCAAACTTCATGTTCTTCAATTTTTTGGTGTAGTCTGCGCCAAATACAAACAATAGGAGTAGTGATAAATGCTTTGGTTTAGGATTTTATGTAAATGAAAAATTAAAACAATAGAGTGGAGTGAATTGGACTCTGATTAAACACATAAGCGACACATATGGAGACAATGTTAATCATGTAAGCTTTTGTAACAGCTGATGCACATAATCAACTTAAAAAACGCAAGTCAATGTACTTCCCAATATCATGTATCCCATGAAGTAGTACTTACTCCATCCGAAACAACTTCATGCACATTTTGAACATTTACTCTATTTGAATATAAATTACTTCCCCGTCTATAAACACGTTGGCAACTTTCTTTCTTTGTTGTCCAACTAACTTTGACACTTCACCTTTTAAGTTTTAAATAAACAATTTGTGGTTTCATTTTTTTCCCTTTGCATAAAACTCAACTCAGTGAGTGTTGTACATTTTCTTGGATTTCTCCTTAAAGTACTAATAAATGAATTATTACACTAATTCACACATGTATATTTCGATTGTTTTTATATTTTTGGGTGTTCATATGAACACTCTTGCACTAAAGACAGGAGCGGAGCCAGAAAAATGTGTGAGGGGGGTCGGAATTTAATTATATACAGTATCAAAGTGACAGATAGTTATTATACAACACTTGAGTTACATGTTTCATAAATAGCTGATATAAATGATAGTTTAATGAACATTTATCGATTAATGTATTGATATATATGTAATGTATTATAATGTTTACACAACTAATGACTGAATAATGTGTTTTATTTTTAAATTTAAGAATATAACCAACGTCACACATCAAATTTTGCTTATTTCAAAATTAAGATGATGCTGATTTTTCCAGAAATCGTAACTTTTTACTCGTAATGAGTTGCGATACCCATAATATATCAAATCCAAGATATTTCAGAGCTATACATTCTTGAACTTTCAGCGTGGTCGACTGACCACACTAACCCCCTAGCTCTGCCCCTAACTAAAGAGATCCCTCACTGTCTCAACCGTACAATTTTTACTTTAGCCACCTAGAGTAGCCATGAGTATTCCTATTGGCCAGTCCAAAATTTCAAGAACTAGCGAAGTTTTTATCAAGAATTATCATTGTTGTTTTGTCTGGGTAGAGAGTAAAATGCTTTGGAAGCTCAACTAACTCACAAAGAAAGCAAACGAACAATCGTGGAAGAAGGGTCGAGAGATCCTCTCAACTGGGGTTTCAGCAAAACTTCAATGGCCGCTCACACGCTGTCATACTTTTCGATCCCACCTTCACAATGCTGCAAAAGACCAACTCCCGAGAACTCTCTAACTCCCAACCTGAGAGCTCTATCTTACTCTTTTCTAGGGCGGGGACTCTCATTTCGTGTTTCCAATTTGAGCTCCCCCACTTCAAAACGACGTAGTTGTACTTCTGCGACACTCACGCCCACCCTCCCATCTTCGTAATTTTCAGCGCTTACTCGCTCGTTCCGTTAATCAACAGTGCAAGATATGCAATTTATGACTCACGTTTCATTTGGTTTTGCAGAAATGAAGAAACTGCAGAAAAAGCTCCTTCAAAACGGCCCAAGTGAGTTTTTCAGTATGTTTCATATCCAGTTGTTGTATATTGGGAATTATGCGTTATGAGTTCTGATTATAGCTTTAGTGTGCTGTGTAGGTGGTCAGCAAGGGCGATAAAGTCTTTTGCAATGGGTGAACTTGAAGCTAGAAAGCTCAGGTATCTCAACACAGGCACTGAATCTTTGCTCATGGGTATCTTGGTTGAAGGTTAATATTCACTTATCCCATCAAGATTACTGTTTTTTGGGCTTGCATTATTAATACATACATGCATTGAGCGTGATCACAGGCTTAGGTATGTTTCTTGTTCAAATCACCCAGTGCATATGTGATATCTATTCACCTGCTGTATAAAAATCATGGGTGTGTTAATTTTAAAATATTGTATTTTCAGTTAGATGATTCTTTAAAGCTCTATTTGGAACATGGAAAGTATTAGGTAAAGAAAATAGTGAGGATAACTGGAAGTTCTTTTGGGACGGGGTGGGGGGAATAGGCTTAAATTCTGTAAATTGATTTCAGATATTTGTTCAAATTCCTCTTTTATTTATTTAGCTCTATGCCTCTATTATACAAAGACTATGAAATCTGAATATGTAACCACAACAACAACATCTAAGCCTTAATCCCATAAGAGTGGGGTTGGCTAACCTAAATAGACATACTTATGATACATGAGTTATAAATAATAAATAATACTACGTAGTAAAAATAATAAATAGAGAGAAAGGTTGTCAAACAAAATCAAATTAATCTTCCACACTTAGGACATGTTTACTTCATTGCATACTAAACGGTGCTTGGTAAAACATGGCTTAATAAGCTGATTCTTACTAAGAGATGCTTATTAAAGACATGTTTACTTCATTGGGCTTAAAATGTGTATCGTATACAAAATGTCAAAATAACATTAAGTCCTGCCCATGTCATTGATTGTTTTATATCACTAGAAACACACCAACCGTTTCTCATCTCCATTGGCCAAGAAATGTCGCAAGTCCATCATCTCCGGCTACTTTCTTCTCCCATTTTTTGCTCCATCCATAAGATTAATAAAGGCAGAATATTCTTGTTCAATCAAATTGATTCTCTATCTCTCTATTCGAACATATATATAGATATATACATAGCTACTGTAGAAATTCTTGTACAAAGAATCCCAGGGAGCAAAACAGGGCCTTTTATGCTCTTCCACCACTTTAAATGTCAACTGGGGCATCAATTGCGACATTGAAGGAGTTTGTTGGTGTCAGACACCTTGTACCCGAGAGAGCAGAGTTTTTCTTGTGTCTGAGATACTTTGGAGGAGAACGAATTTGGCAGAAACGTAGAGATGAGGAGGGCGTGGTGTGAGGGTATTGATGTAATACAATATCTGCAAGGCTACAAAATGAAGACAGGATGGTCAATATAAATGACTTAACTCACCGGCTAAATAAAACATGGGGGAGGGGGGCTTTTAACAAACGGCGATTATATGGGCTAACGGGGTAGTACACACGCATTTACCCGGCCAGAGATGTTTACTTCAAGCCTCTTAATAAGCTAACGGTGAATTAAACAACAAAGTAAACATGTCCTTATACTCTCCCCCCACTTTGCACTATCCGAAGCATTGTTCTAAAACTCGTTAGGCGCTAGTCGGGCGGTTGAGGGGCGCCTAGTGCCTAGGCGGCCGACTAGGCCGATTTTTTGGCCGACTAGGCCGATTTTTTAACCGAGGCCTCTACAGTTACGGCCGCCTAGGCCAATTAATCGGTCCGACTAGGCCGATTTTTAGAATAGTGATCCGAAGTCATACTCTCATCTAACTCAAGAAGTACCATACCGTTCTAAATATGTAAAAAGAATCATTGTTGATTTTTCATTGTGTTTTCAATCTAAAGTTGAATTGTTGAACAAAAGAAAACACTTCTCCTTAGTACCCCCCTAGTATTTCCCAGGATTAAAAAATACCTAATTATGCAAAGAAACACTGTTTTTACAGGAACCAGTTTGGCTGCTAAGCATTTGAGGGAAAATGGTATTACATTATTTAAGGTGCGAGACGAAACTATAAACCTACTTGGCAAATCTGGTGTGTTCATTTCAAGTCCCGAACATCCTCCTTTAACCAAACCTGCCAAGGAGGCTCTTGATTGGGCTGTCGATGCAAAGCTGAAATCAGGTACCCTCATATGCCTTTAATATATTAAAGTCCGGACAACTTTCTATTCACACAAAAAATTCAACTTAAATAAATGTATACGAACATGTTTTATTTATTCTACACGTAAACGTATATCATGATGGCCTATATGAAAATAAAAATGGACTGTTTGCTGTTGGGGCACCTGAGCAAACAGTTCGAGGAGTGTTGTTTGACTTAATGGATGTAAAGGTGAACGTTACGGTCGGTGATGTGTAACTAACTACAAGAAAATAAGGGATTGACACACAGAAGCAAACATAGATAAAAGTGTGGTTGTATGGGGGTAAAATGTTTTACCCAAACATATAATAAGTGTAATGAAGTGTGGGTATCTAACCGTAGGAAAACGTTATTATCTACACATGCAATTATGTGTAGGTAATTACTAATTATAGAACCTTTACCTGCACATGTATTCTTAGGTGACATGGCTAGTACTGTATTGTGACATGGCTATAAGCGTGGTAGCATACACGGTTAATGATTTAGCAGTTGACTTGGCAATTTAAAATTGACGGGATGATAGTGTGGCGAATGTATATCTTGACGATGTTGATTAATATGTGTAGATATATATAAGTTCTGTTAATACTTATTGCTTACTTCTTCCCCTTGTCTTGAAAAAGTATCTTAGTACTCCATCCGTCCCACAATTAGTTTCTACTTTCCTTTTTAGGATGTCCCACAATCAAGTTCCTTCTTCTCTTTCTGGCAATATTTGAGTGGTAAAATACTTTTTTACCCATATGAAAAGTGCATCATTAATTATTAACTTTCTCTACCATACTTTTGAGGAAGAGTGTAAACTAAAATATTAACTAAACTCTACTTTCCTTTATTTTGCCTAAAAACCTGTTAACTAGGAACTTAATTCCTACACGGAGGGAGTATTTGAGAAGCAATTGTCTATTTTGGTACCATATTGAGTAATATGTGCACCGCTATTCATATGCACAGATTTTGGATTTGAAATTTGAATGGCTACATAACTACTTCTAAGTCTTAAAAAAAAACTACTTCTAAGTCTTCGCTTATGTTATTGGTTTTTTTTTCAAATTATTGTTGTTGTCGTTACTGTTGTCAATTGCATTTTTTCTCTCATTTTTAAATGGCGGATAACAATTTTCATATATTCTAACACAGTGATTAGCAAGGATAATGTAGTCCTCATTTTTAAATGGCGGATAGCAATTTTCGTATATTCTAACATAGTGATTAGCAAGGATAATGTAGTCACATTGTATCAGTGCACGTTGTCAGTTAGAATTTAATAATCAAGATTCAAGAATTACCATTTTCATTATTTAACATGCTTCAAGTTAGCTATTTGTCTCATGGATGTAACTCATGTAAGTCGGATTTGAAATATTTAATGCTCGGTGCTTGTCCACAGACCTCCTAGATGATCCCGTTATTTTCTATTGGCTATTGTGTGCACCTTTGCATATGATAAGATACATTTAATAGTTAATAGACCTCGTAATACATATTATAAAGATATATTGATAGAGTTATTAATGAGTTATTTTTTGTATTCTTTGAGTGATGATAATTGTTTATAGACTTTCTAGACTTCATATTTTGTGATGTAGAATACTCTAATAGTTTTTTGGGAAGAAGAATACTCTAATAGTTAACGAAGTTATTTAATAGAAAAGCCAATGATTTATTTTGTTTAGTATGTGCTTTAATAACTAGACTATGTTACTTGGGTTTGAGTGAAAAAATTTAAACCAGGTATTCTGGCCAGCTAATTGAGCACTGAGGGGCCTGGGCTGCCAAATCAGCCAGCTGATTATTTTGGGCCAACCTGGCTAAATAGTCGCTAAAAACAGAAAACCTTTCGACCATATTACTACCACTCTCCCTGATGAAACACTTTTTTTGTTTGACAAAGGTTGAAAGTCTATATTATGTTTAGTGGCCGATAATGTCAATTAATTGCAAGTAATGACGTTAGTTACTATAGGCTCGTGCAATATGTCCTGCACTTGAATGATGAGATGAAATTTCAAAAATATTATCATCATTGTTTTTTGCCACCTGCATTGAATTACATCTGTATGTCTTTGAAAAATTCCATCGCTTGACAGGGCTGATAAATTGTTTGCTCCTCATATTTTGCAAAACACAGGTGAGGATGGTGAATTGACAACAGCTTATCTGCTTCTTGGCATTTGGTCACAAAAGGAATCAGCAGGGCAAATAATAATGGCTACACTTGGTTTTGATGATGAGAAGGCCAATGAGCTATCGAAATTTGTAAGTTGCAATCCTTTATATTCAAGTATTGACCTGTGGGGTGCAAGATGTTCTCTGATGGGAGTCAATTCGATCAGATTTGGAGGATCGGAAGATCCACATCCAATCCAATACGTTCTGTGGTTCTGCCACCCATGGCGGATCCTTGTTCTAACAAATTAATTTGCTTCAAAACATAAATGATATTACTACTGGCCATGATACTTAAATTTAAATGCGACCATTCCATTTAAAAATAATAATTATCCCATTCAGCAAAACCCAGAGTCCAGACATTCGACTTCAACAAAATGGAATAGTTTTTCTGTTTCATATTTAATTAATACTACGTATGTAACTAGTAAGAGAATATGTCTTAAATTGAGTCTATATCTCTTTCAAGCTGCAAGTACTTCCACCTTTTTCTGTTCAAGCTTTTGAGGAGTGTTTTTTTTAGAATGTGTGTGCATATAAGTGCTCCTTAAGCTGTTAATTTATATTGAAATAGTCAGTTAAAAATGATGAAAATAAAGGAAAAATTCACATCATTAATCTCACCTCTTTCACGTTCTTCTAATATTAATCCCATATATGTGCAATTCCAATAGTCTAAATGATAAGGAGCACTTTCTCAAAATGAGCCTGTGACCTGAATAAATTGTTTATGCATGTCACCTTGCCACGTGGCTTGTTCTGATTTGTCTCATTTTTCCTTTTTCTTTTCTCTTTTCCTTTTCTTTGTCATTTTTCTTTTTCTCTTCCTGAAAATCTCTCGCCGTCCTCTTCTTACTCCTCTTTGGTCTTCTTTCTCCTTTCAAATCCAAACAGAAGTTTCCATGTAAATTCCCTTCTTCCTCTAAAAAATTTCAGATTATCCTTGTTTTCCTACTCTTCTTCCTCTTCCATCTTCTTCTTTCTTAATTTTCAGATTATAAATCTTTATTTTTATGGTTGGTTCAGGTTAGCTTTCTTTTTCTTTTTCTTTTTTATGCTTTACTGGTGTAGTCCGTTTCCGATTACTTGGGACCAATTTAGGAAGACCACCTATGAATAACAGGTATATTTTAGCTCCAATTTCATATGTCAATTTCATGTTACCCAACCTCAAACTCTTTTGGGACTAAGACTTGAATGTTGTTGTTGTTATTGTATGTATATTTGGTAGTAATATGGGAAGATCGCTAATTGTCATATGAATTTTTCCTACAAATGAACTGTCATACCTCAACTAAACATACTTCTTAAGTGGATAAACAGATCAGAAATGGTTCTGTGGAAGCATGAGGCACTTAGAAATAGTTGCAACACTTTCAATGTATCTCATCTTATGTGTTCATGTTGTGTGATGTGCAGATGGACAAGGATATTATAATGAACTATAGATAGATAGTTTCTGCTTGAGGCTGTTAAGCAATTGTCAGTTATCTTGATGAAACTCATGGAGACGGCTAGCCACGAGTCTCGAGATCTGCTTCATGCTGTTCTCATTTGTTTCTCATACAATCAGTCTTTTCCTCTTTTGGTAAGGGAATCAACCAGAGTAGATCGAAAGCCTGATTTTGGCTTCAAAGGTTATGTAGAGTGCAGTACTTGAATTCTTATCTCGTGGCAATTTTTTATGTGTTCAACTTTTGCAACCATACACATTGAAAGTACATAGGTATTGCAAAAAAAGTACATCGTATTCTAAATTTCTAATTGCGAATTTTTCAGAATTAACGTCACTTTTAATATTGGGATTATTAGGTCATTAACGTGCGTACCATTTCCACTTGGTTTTGATGGAAAAGTGGCCGGATGTGTCATAAATGAGAGTTTATAAATCACAATCATGGACCTAAACTTCTAAAGCAGAAAACTAAAAGTTGAGTTCACCAAAAACGAAAGTACCTTCTTGTGTGACTAAATATTTTTTTCAAACACTCAAGTCCAAGATGCACATATAATTAACTTTCGCTCTGGTGCTCGTTTGGGAAATTGAGAAATGATTTCCATGAGTTATATTTTGTTTTGTTCAGTACTACATGTTTAGTCCATATTGAAGTAAAACTATTTTACAAAAATATGATTGAAGTTACTTTGAGTGTAGTATCATGGTCACTTAATTCTAGAAATTGAAAATAAGTTACTATGACTAAAATTACTACCGAGTATCATATCATACATTTAAGAGGTCATATTTTTTTGTAAACAATTCTTATTTTAGCCATAAATATGTAATTATTTCACTTAATATGTATTTGTAAAATTACATTTATTTATTTGTTACGGAGTAGCTATCTTAGGGCTATACGCTGGTTTAACTTAGCTTGTTAGTCAAAGTAACAAGTTAATAGCAAGCTGAGAGGTTTTTTTCGAGTTAATTTTCAATTATTCAATATAAGAGTATAACATCATGAAAAAGCAAATGAAAAAAAGGTAAAGGTACCCAAAATGGGGTACCTCATTTGTCCCCCACCCTAATGGGTGGTCATAAATGTGCCAACCCATCATAAATGTGCCAACCCATTTAAGTGGTGCCCCTCTTAAATGAATTGTCTCATTTATGGCCACCCATTAGGGTGGGAGACAAATGGGGTACCCCATTTTTGGCTACCCCAAAAAGTTGCAGATTTGCTCTATCACTGGTCTGCTTGCCGCCGCCTCCACCACCATAGGATTGGCCCACGGCCTACCACCAATCGACTACCCCAAAAGAACTAGAGGGCAATTAATTAGTTTAATTAATTAGAAAAAGGATATTAGGAGTAGAAAATTAATGTTTAGTCCTTTTTAGGGAAGATTAAGAGTGAACTCCTATTTCGGGAAAAGTTGTACGATAGTATGATTTACTCCTTTTTTTGCGATCCGAATTGACACCGAATCGCCCCGGTCAAAATGAGGAAAACTGCATTGACTAAGTAATGTGCAAGGCGCGGGGAATGCTCGGTTTGTTGTTATGGGTAACAAGGTGCTTGTGGTTTTATATATTTTTATTAGGGAAAACTGTCAAATAGGTCCTCGAACTTTCATAAAAAAGTCAATTAAGTTCTTCTATAGGAGACTCTGTCCGGTCGTCGCGATTTGGGGCGGTTTCCGGTGGAATTTTTTTATGAATTTTTTTGAACGTCCTATTCATCAATTCTAGTTTACTCATACCAAATTTCAGCTAAAAATTTAATCAGGAGTGCATTCAAATTAATTCGAGAACACAAAAATGCGCAGTTATTTACAAGAATTAATTTGAATGTGTTCCCGATTGAATTTTTAGCTGAAATTTGGTATGAGTAAACTATACTTGGTGAATAAGATGGTCAAAAAAATTCATTAAAAAATTCCACCGGCAACTGCCCCAAATCGCGACGGCCGGACAGAACCTCCTATAGAAGGACTTAATTGACCTTTTTATGAAAGTTCGAGGACCTATTTGACAGTTTTCCCTTTTTATTACAATTTTCACTACACACTCATTTAACAAAGTGAATACTCGTGGTTATACTCGTTACTCGTTGAGGTGGTTATATCTTGAATAAAAATTACCCATTAAGTAATGGGACGTTACCAAGCGGTTACGGGGTGGGAAACTTGCCATTGTCATTCTCCCCGTTGCCATCTCTACGGGACATCATCATCCATTCTCATGGCCACCCTTTGGCTAATATTCGATTGGAAAACTAAATTAGTGCTCAAGGATTGTGAGTTTTCAATATTCAGTGATTTGAATGCTAAATATTGCATTAGGAAAACTAATGACAAATGGATTTTCAATTTACTAATTGCAAGGTTGTGAATTGACATGATCCATGTGTTTTGATTTAAAATCATAAAATAAAAAGGAAAATCGCCATAGACTTGGGCTATCTTTGACACACATAAGTCTCTCTGTCTCTGCCTTCTAACTTTTTTACTATTTAAAAAGTTTTTAAAAGCTTCAAGTTGTATGTCTGGTATGTCAATTTTTAAGAGTCTCTATAAAAATAAAAGACCTTTTTTTCAGATGCTACAGTGAGTAACATCTAAGATAAGTCTGTAGCTTGTAGCATAAATTAGTCTCAACTCTCAACAACTTGTATAGCAAACAGAACTAAATCAAACAGTCAGCTTTTTATCAAATATGTACTACTCCCTCTGTCCCGCTAGAAGGTTCCCGTGAACGGTTTACGATGCTTGACTCACGATAAATCAACTTAATCTCTGCTCACACTCTGATTATTTTTAGTAAATAAAATTTACATATTCAGACATTACATTAAAACCGCTACAAAGCCTGATAAAAATAATGTAAATTTGATAAAAATTTAATATATAAAGCAAAAGATTAAAAATGATTTAAGTTGACCATGAGAATAGTGGACGGGAACCTTCTAATGGGACGGAGGTAGTATCTTTTTATTTTAAGATCTTATCAGTCACTAAAAGTTAACAGCTACAAAAAAGCTCATAAAAGTACTTTTTCAGCTAGTTGTGTCAAACATGCTCTTATAGTAATACTTTTGACACCGTATGTGGAATGATCACTTCTAACTAGGATTTAGAAATGTTAACAAGCCAAATCGAACTAGGACACTTCGAGCTCGAGTTCGTCTCGATTCCATAATAGTGGTCATAGGGTTTGAGCTCGAAGCTCGGCAAGCTTTACAAATGAAGCTCATGTTTGACTCAATTGGTGGTCGATGTTCGAACAGAGCGCTCAATAAACTCGATCAATATGTTCGAATTTAAACTTTTAAGTGATGCTTATTGTTAAGCTCATGCTCGAATTATTGGGCAAGTATTCGGTTCGTTAACGTTCGTATTTAAATTCATCAAATCATACTAACTACATTTCAATTTAGACATATATATAAATCATACTTATAATTTCAGGGTATTCGATAGACTCGAGCTCTAACCGATCCAAATACTACTATGTTCGAGCCCAACTCGATTAATTGTTCGAACTTTTAAACATAGCTCAGGTTCGAGTTTAAAAGCTCATTAGGTTCGAAATCGAGTCCGAACTCAAATAGTTCCATAAAAGCTCGATTCTTTAACAACCCTGGTTGCAATGAAAGGCGAGTTTTGTTAATCGTTTTGGTTTTGTCCTAAAACAAAATGTCGAGCCAAAGTGAAAAGTTCAATCCGGTTCTGTTTTATCTTTCTTGAAACCATGGTTTTTTCACTTTAGTTTATTTCGGTTCAGTTTTTTGATCTTTATCAAAATAATTTTGTTGATTAAAAAAGATAGTAATTAATAAATGAAAAACAAAATAGTTTTGAAAAAGTGCCAAGAAATAAATACACTTCCAAATAATAAATTAGAGACTGTATATCTCTTTAAACATTATTAAAAATATTTAAACACATATATTTTTACACACACACACACATTTTACTCTAGGGGGTTTGAGGGAGTGGGATTTGGGGGAGCCTGGAGTAATCAGGACCGAAACTCACTCCATTGAGTTTCAAACCCTTATGTACCTAACAGGTTTCGAACTCAAGACCTTCACTAGGCACGGTAACCTCACAACCAGCTGGGCTGAAATGATTGGTTTACATACACAAACATACACACAGACACACACACATATCTAAAATATTATAATAGTCAATGAAGGTAAGGGTACTTTAGGTATGAAAAATGTGTTGGTGTAATTATATGCTAATGTAAACTTGTACTTTGAACAAAAATGATTGTAACTTAGTGCGTCTAGCATACTTAATGTCTAATGAATCCTGCATTCCGTTAGTATTCCATTAGTTAGCCTACTTTCAAGCTTTTACATTAAGCTTTCCATCGATTAGATTATTACTCCAGCACCACACTATTCACAAATGTTTCATTTTTCCCTTGCCCTAATCTTTGTTCTTTTCTTTTTGCTTAAGAAATATACTACGTAGACTGCGTACGTAACATATAGTAAGTTTAGTAACAAGCAAAAATTATCTATTATCATATCATTATGTGATTTATGAGTATGGAACTATGGATGTTTTTATTCTTTTTTTTTTTCCTCAAACAAGAAATAAAAATTTTCTCAATGGATATTGAAATTGAATAAATGCTTGCTAAAGTGACTGAATTGTTCGAATATATTGAATTATAGAAAGATTATATTTAAAATATATTTTATTAATATACTAAAGAAAAAAATATCAAAAATGGCCTAAATTATCATATACAGTAATTCCAACCAATACAGTCAGAAAAGTTATCCTAACCTTACTTATTTTGATAATTGCACAATTCGGTGTGAGAAATCAAAAGCTACATGTTTGATAAAAATATTGACTGATAAAGCTGACAAGATGAATAACGAGTTACCAAATGGGATCTTACGTATACCTCATTTGCTACTACCTATGTTCCCCTAACATTAGTACAGGAGGAACCGAGGAAGTAGTGTGGTTGACATGAAAAGTGAATTTATGTGATTAATAAAATGAAAATGAAGTAAGAATGATTTTGAGCCACACAACATTACCAAATTTGATATAAGACAATCTTAAAGTTCGTTTAGTGACTCAGTTTTTTGGCTTATCAACCAACTTTATAACCAAACGCGTAACTTTTGATTTAGTGCGCTGAAATGTGTAATAATAAGAAAAAGTGAGGTTGAAGTTACTTTTCTGACTGTATTGTCTGAAGTTACTGCAGATTATCATTTTAGCTATTTTTATATAACTTTTTCTTTATTTCATCAATAAATATATTTTAAATATAATTTTTCCACTATATTTTCATAAGTCAATAAAGTTTAACTTCAAATTATAATGTTTTGTTAAGA